GTGAGACCCAAATTCCTGGGGACTTCCTAAATTCCTGGGGAGACCCCAAATTCCTGGTGAGCCCCCAAATTCCTGGGGACTTCCCAAATTCCCAGGGAATTCCTGGTGACTTCCCAAATTGCTGGTGAGCCCCCCAAATTCCTGGTGAGGAAACCCCCCCAGTTTGGGAATTTTTTTGGGAAAACAGGAGGGACAAACCCGCAGGACAAAGGTCTCCAAGCGACTCCCGGGGGTCGATTCACGTGGGGAAAATCCCGGTGGGAATTAATTAATCCCTAACGAGGCCTCTCCAATCAACGCTTCCCACCCCCGGGCTCGGCTTTTCCCAGCTTTTGGGGTTTTTTGGGAATACCAGGGAAGGGCCAAACCCGGATTTGTGCTTAAACAGGGGGGGGAAAAGGGGAAAACGAGGGGGGGGGAGGCCAAAAACCCCCCAAAATTCCAATTATCCCGCTGGGAAAGGGGGGAAAAGCGGGATTGGTGTCGATATTCCCACCGGGATGGTGTGCAGGGGGCGGGACACACCCGGAATCCTCGGGAATATTGGGAATATCCGGGAAAATCCGGGAAAAGGGCCGTGTGGGGGTCACTGAGGTGCTTTTTACCACCTGGGTTCGGGGGGTTTTTTTTTGTGGTTTTCACACTTTTTCCAGTGATTTCCACCAACTTTTCCACTTTTTTTTTTCTTTTTGTTCCGGTTTGTTTTCCAAGGAAAACCTGGGAGGGAATTCCAGGGCTGGAAACGTTATTTTTTTTAGGGAAGGGATGAAAATTGTGTGCTTTTGTCACTTTTTTTGGGGTTTTTTGGGGTTTTTTTTGGGGGGAATTCTGCTTGGTTTGGACACACGGGGATCAACTCACTGTTTACATGGAATTTACGTGGAATTTACGTGGAATTTACGTGGAATTTTCACGGAGAACACCTCGGGAATTACGGGGAGGGGACGAGAGGGGGAGGAAAAGGCAGGAAAAATGACATTTAACGACCCCAAATCCCTTCAGTTCCCCCCCATTTCCCACCACACACCTGCCCAGGGGCCCCAGAATTCCCTGGATTCGTCTCAGTTTTCAGGGATAACCCCCAGAACCTCCCTGGATCCACCTGGTTTTAAGGAAAACTCCCCAAAAACCTCCCTGGATTTAATTTTTTTTTATCAGGAATAACCCCAAAACCTCCCTGGATATCAGAAATATTCCCAAAACCTCCCTGGAGTGACTTTTTTTTAAGGAAAACCCCCAAAATCTCCCTGGATTTACCTTTTTTTTTAAATAAAAACCCCAAAAACCTTCCTGGATTTACTGTTTCTACCAGAAATAACCCCAAAAACCTCCCTGAATTTACCTTTTTTTAAGGAAAACCCCCAAAACCTCCCTGGATTTACCTTTTTCTATCAAAAATATCTCCAAAACCTCCCTGGATTTGGCCTTTTTTAACCAGGAATATCCCCAAAAACCTCTCTGAATTTACCTTTTTTTAAGGAAACCCCCCCCAAACCTCCCTGGATTTACTGTTTTTATCAAAAATAACCCCAAAACCTTACTGAATTTTCCTTTTCTTATCAAAAATATCCCCCAAACCTCCCTGGGTTGACTTTTTTTTTACCAGAAATATCCCCAAAAACCTTCCCTGAATTTACCTTTCTAAGGAAAACCCCCCAAAACCTCCCTGAATTTACTTTTTTCATCAGGAATAGCCCCAAAACTTCCCTGGATTCCCCTTTTTCTCCTGCTTTTTTCACACTATTTGGTTTGAACTGCACAAAAAAAATGGGAATATGGGAAATGGCTTCAAATTATGGTGGGGAGGGGTCAGAAAAACAGGGAAAAAGGGATTTTTTGGGGCAGATATTGGTGGTTTTGAGCCTTTTGAGCACTGGGGGGAAACTTGTCACACCCCAAAACCCCCCCAGGGACCCCCAAACTTCCTGATCCCACTTTGGGGGGGATTTAAGGGGATAAATTGGGTGTTACTGAGGGAATAATGGTGTTGAAAGGGATTAATAAGGACACAAACTCCCCAAAAAGAGGCTCTAAACACACCTAAAAAGGAGCTGAAACCCCCAAAAGAGGAGCTGAAACCCCTAAAAAGGAGCTGAACCCCCCAAAAAGGAGCTGAACCCCCCAAAAAAGAGGAGCTAACCCCCCCAAAAGTAGCTAAATTGCCCCAAAAGAGGGTCTAAAGCCCCCCAAAAAGCAGCTGAACCCCCCAAAAAGGAGCTAAACCCTCCAAAAAGAGGAGCTAAACCCCCCCAAAAGAAGTTAAACTCCCCCAAAAGGAACTAAACTCCCCCAAAAAGCAGCTAAATTCCCCAAGAGGGTCTAAAGCCCCCCAAAAAGCAGCTAAATTGACCCAAAAAAGGAGCTAAAGCCCCCCAAAAAGCAGCTAAAACCCCCCAAAAAGAGGAACTAACCCCCCAGCAGCTAAACTGTCCCCCAAAAG